CAGCACATTGATTGGGTTATTAGGAGTGTTTGTTGGCCTTTGCGCCGCTTCATGCTCATCATCTGATTGGACGAGCTCTGAACAGATGTTGTTTATATCCACCGAGTTTCACAACATCAGCAGAAACAATAGCACATTATTATGCAATTTCACTGATACTCTCATATTAGACCAAAATAAAACATGGAAAACGGGACTTTCCCAGAACTGAGGAGGAAAATGGGCTGTAAAAGTGCTCTGGTCAAACGGTCAGTGGATAAAAGTGCTTGAAAACATTATAAGACAGCTTTTTTCTCTTGTTAATGAAGACGAGTAAATATGTGTTTATACATTTGCATAATTAACCATGATTAGAAGTGTTTTATTTAGTGTCAACATCCAAAATAAAAGCTTGCAATTAAGATTTATAAATATATATATACACACACTACCTGTCAAAAGTTTGTGGTCAGTATAAAATCAGCTTCTCCTGCTCACGGCTGAATTTATTTTCATCAGAAATACAGTACACGTTGTGAAATTGTGAAACGTTATTGCATTATAAAATATAATATCTAATTTAATTCAATCATTTATTTCAGTGTTTTAAAGATGAATTTTCAGCTTCATTACTCCAGTCTTTAGAGTCACTGGATCCTTCAAAAATCACTTTAATATTAATTATTATTGTTATTATTAATTATTATTATAATTATTAATATTATTGTTATTATTGTTATTATTATTGTTGTTGTTGTCATTATTATTATTATTATTATCATCGTCATTATTGTTATTATTATATATTATTATTATTATTATTATGATTAACAGTAATAATATTAAAAGCAATAATGACTGCGGTAATAATCAAATTTGAAACTACATACAATAAGAATATAAATAAATATTTAATAAATAAATATTCAATAATTGACAATTTTATTTACATTTAATAAATGCTGCCTTGATGAACAGAATATAAAATAATAATATTAATAATAATAAATGACCCCAAAATTTTGACCGGTAGTGTGTGTGTGTGTGTGTATATACAGTGGGAAAAAAAATTATTAAACACGTCACTATTTTTCTCAGACGCTCTTGACTTGAAATTTTCTTGCCCTAAAATGTTGGTATGCAAAGAAAAGAAAACTAATTAGTTTACAAATGAAGTTCTGTGGAATGCAGTAAAAAACTATTAAACACATGAAGAAATGGACGTGTAGTTCAGCAGTGAAAGCCCAGACAGCAGACTGCTTCAGTCCAGCATCTACATTACAGGAGGATGAAGATCAAACCAGGGTGGACATTTCAGCAAGACGATGATCCAAAACACAGCCGGGGAGACTCTCAGATGCTTTCAGAGAAAAAAAATAAAAATCAAGCTGTAGAATGGCCCAACCAATCACCTGACCCCAATCCAATAAACAATACAGAATAAAGCTCAGATTTAATAGACGAGACCCACAAAAGCATCAAGATTTAGACACTCTGTTAAAGTCTGTGAGAAACTCACACCTGAGCAATGAGTTTTCAATCTCCATATGAGAGGCGTCTTTAAGCTGACATCACCAAAACAGCCTTTATATACAGTAATAAACATGTTTCAGTAGTTCAGCACTTTCTCCTTCTGTCATTTCACTGTTATTACACACAACTCATTTCTCAAATTAGGTTTTTTGTTTTATTTGTGTTTGTATTGTTTGGGTTTTTACCAAAATCTGCTTCAATTTCATGTCAACAGCTTCTTTAGAGATATTATTTGCAGGAAAACACACGACGATGTGTTCAATACTTATTTTCCCCACTGTACATATATGCATATATTCCTTTTTAAAAGATTTCCTTTTATAAATCTGCATACATTTATTAATTCATTTTTATTTATTTATTAAATGTTAATTAATTAGATTGTTTTACAGAATTCTGCCTAAAACTTGTAAATAAATAAATAAATAAATAAATAAACTGCACAGACTTTGCCTGTCCTGACTCATCATACACCATACAGTGGTGTTCACGTCCCACATTCATGAAAACTGGCAAAGAAACAAAGCCATTTTCAAGCTTAAGTTGCACACTGCTGCCAGAAAAGATCTGCCTGTATCCACCAGTGCAGAAGTAATGAGAGACGTGTCTTTCCCCGCGCAAATAACACACAAAAACCAGCACTTCCAAACTACAAGTGCTACACTACACTAAACGGCACAGTTTGACATCAATCTTGGAGCCGCACGGACTCACTCCAGCTAAAAACACACGACGTCAGCATGGGAATATAAAGCGCAGATCCAGATGAAATGAATCTTCAGACAATGAGCGTGGGCAAATGCAGGAGCACAGATCTCTCATTTTGGCTTGGACTGATTTTTGCTCTGCTGATGCGGGACTTTCCCACAGTTTCAGCGTTTGTCACTGGAGAGTCCCGAAGCGTTCCCAGATCTGAAACACTGGTCCTGGATCAGTCCCTGCACAGACTGAGATCAGAGCAAACTCTAGAGAAACTGATCCTAGATCAGCAGAGCGCACAGAGATATTTCTGGAACACAAGTTTAGGACAGAAGCCAGAAAAAGCAAAAACTCCAGCAGAAACTGTGGCAGCGGCTGCGTTATGAGGCTTCATGAAAATAAAGTGATTGTGTTTTAAGAAAAACTTATTAATGTTCAAGAAAAATGAACTAAAAAGATTAAGCGTAAACTCATTAAATTTAAAGAAGATGTTGTTTTTGAGAAAAAAGGTTGCTCAATTTTGAGAAAAATAAATGACGAAATGTTAAGAATAAATGCATAAAATTTTGAGAATAAGGTCATTCATTCATTCAATCATTCATTTTCTTTTCGGCTTAGTCCCTTTATTAATCCGGGGTCGCCACAGCAGAATGAACCGCCAACTTATCCAGCAAGTTTCTACGCAGCAGAAGCCCTTCCAGCCACAACCCATCTCTGGGAAACATCCACACACACACTCATACACTACTTACAATTTAGCCTACCCAATTCATCTATAGCGCATGTCTTTGGACTGTGGGGGAAACCGGAGCACCCCGAGGAAACCCATGTGAAGGCAGGGAGAACATGCAAACTCCACATAGAAACGCCAACTGAGCCGAGGCTCAAACCAGCGACCCAGTCATTTTGGTGAAAAAACAACAACCAAAAGTAAATTTCCAGATAACAATTGTTGAAATAAAATGTTGAAAATAAATGCATTTCATTCAAAGAGAAAGTTTTGTGTTGAGAAAAATAGACTAAATAAAAATGTTCAGAAAAAAGTCATTACATTTCCAAAATAAAGTCACTGGAGAGTCCCGAAGCGTTCCCAGATCTGAAATACTGGTTCTGGATCAGGCCTTGAACAAACTGAGATCAGAGCAAACTCTGTAGAAACTGCTCCTAGATCAGCAGAGTGCACAGATATATTTCTGGAACACAGGTTTGGGAGGGACGCCAGAAAAAGCAAAAAACTCCAGCAGAAACTGTAGAAATGGATGCATCATGGCTGCGTTATATTAATAAAGTAATGCTTCTTATAGTGCTTTATGAGAATAAAGTAATTGTGTTTCAAGAAAAATGTATTAACTTACAAAAAATAATAAAAGATTTAAGAGTAAACTTATTACATTTAAAGAAGACCAAGAAAAAAAAGTTACATTTTTTTAAGAAAAATAATCTAAATAAAATGCTGAGAATAAATGCATAAAGTTTCGAGAATAAAGTCATTGTGGTGAAAAAAACAACATGACTTTCCAGAAAATAATTGTTGAAATAAAACATTGAGAATAAACACATTCAATTTAAAGAAAAGGTAACTAAAAAGATCAAGAGTTAACTGATAAAACTCACAAAAACCTAATAAAAAAAGTTGCTCAATTCTGAAAAATAATAAACTAAATAAAATGTTGAGAATAGAAGCATTACGTTTCAAGAATTGTCATTGTGAAAACAAAAATTAATAAATTTCCAGAAAAAAAGCTGAAATAAATGTTGAGAATAAACACATTTAATTTAAAGGAAAAGTTGTATTTAAAAAAAAAAAATTAAGAAAAATAAAGTACATAAAATGTCGAGAATAAACTAAATAAATTTCGAGAATAAAGCCATGTTTTAAAAAAAAACTCAAAATTTACAGAAAAAAATTGTTTAAATAAATTGTTAATTAAAATAAAATGAAATAAAATGTTGATAATAAAGTGCTTTGTTTGAAGTTTATTTCAAGAAAAAAAGGAATAAAGTGTTGAAAATAAACTTAATATTTATTGAATTTTTATAATTAAGTCATTCATATAATAAAGTTTCGAGAAAAAAAATCGTTAGATCTCAAGACAAGTCATCGTGTTTAGAGAAAATAATCATATTTAAAGATATTATATTAAAAAATATTTAAAGAGAACTGTTTTGATTGGAGGTTTGGGGGCCATGATACAGTGCTGAATTAAGACATATATATGAAAGTGATTTTCCAGACCCTTCACTTTCTCTGGTCCTCAGTGGTGGACCACTCCATCTTTCAAGATCCAACTTGAACAGAAACCTTCATATCTTTGCACAAACATCACGGCATGCAGGTGAAACATATTCATATATGTAGGCAGGTATTGCATTTTATTACACGGCTGTATGGAATACTATACTCTGATTGGTCAGTCAAGAGATTCCATGTATGTTATTCCCAGATAACAGCCGCTGAATAACACAGACTCATTTGGGAACTGAGAATCATCATGATTGTCAGTAAATGAGCTAAAATCCATATACTTACAGTACAACCACATTCACATGTGTCTACTCATCTTTTTGACTGTTCGGCGCCATCTAGTGTCTGAATAATGCGCAGGTTAGTGTATACTCCATGTGCTGTTTTAGTCTCTGTCAGCTTTGTGTTTGTGTCTGTTTGACACCATCTAGTGTCTGAATAATGTGTAGGTTAGTGTATACTCTAGATTTAGATGCAGATATAGATATAGATATAGATATAGATGCAGATATGTAGATATAGATATAGATGGTGTAAGTCTGACCTCAGCGGCCTGTGTTTCCTGATGGAGTAAGGTTAAGCCGGTCAGATCCTCCAGGAAGGAATGGGACGAGTTGAAGACCTTCGCTAGAAATTGGAAACCTTCTCGCTCGTAGTTCTCCAGAACCTGTCAAAGACGAAAACAAAAACACGATTAAAGGGAGAGTTCAACCAAGAATAATCATTCTGTCATCATTCTGTCACTCTGTACTTGTTTTAAACCTTTATGACTATCTTTCTTCTGAGGAACACACAAGAAGATATTTTGTAGTATGCTGAAAACCTGTAACCATTCACTTCAACAGTATCTGATTTCCTACTGTGGAGGTCATTGCTTAACGGTTCAGGTTTCTTCAAAAAAATTGTCTCTTTTTTTGTTGTCTTTACTTATTTAGAAGCTCAGAAAGATTCTCATGAGTAGAGCAATTGATATTTTTTTATTTAATGGAGGAAATGGGCCTCTTTTAATCTGTGTCCAGTCCCGGCCAACTTCTGCAAAAAAGGGGTAACCAATCGTGTTAGATATAACTATTAAACCAAGTCCCTCCTCAAGGCTGACAAAAATAAAATAAATCAATCAATCAATCCATCCATCCATCTATCTATCTATCTATCTGTCTGTCTTTCCGTCCATTCATCTGCTGGCTTGTCTGTCTGTCTGTCCGTCCGTCCGTCATGTAACTTCCAGACCTTTACCACACGCACATGCACAAGCATACACACAGTTTCCTCACAGTCCACACCGAAATAAAGATCTGAAACATTTTATGAGGCTTTTATGACTTTACATCAGAGAGAGAGAGACAGAGGGAGAGAGAGAGAGAGAGAGAGAGAGAGAGAGAGAACTTGGGAGAGAAAATGAGTGAAACACAAGCAGCACTGGGGGAAGGGTGTGTCTCTGTGAGTGTGTGTGTGTGTGTGTGTGTGTGTGTAAGAAGAAAGTGTATGTTTCTGTGTGCATGAGAAAGTTTGTGTGTGTGAATAAGAAAGACAGGGTGTGTGTGCTTGTGTCTAAATGTAAGCGCTGTGAGTGTGTGTGTATTTGAGAGAGAGAGAGAGTCTGTCTTTATGCCACGTATGTGTGTGTGTGTGAAAGTGTTTGACGTTAGTACGTGTGTGCATTGTTTGTGCCTGTGTGTTTATGGATCTCCAAA